ACATCACCGTTCTAAACACCAAAGGGTCGAGAAAAGTTGTGAAATACCAAAAAGGTAAAAAAGAATTTTGTATAAATATCTGGTCAAAAATGGCCTATCCTAACTATTCAGTGGCTCCATGCTTTCTGTATATCAATTTTCTGTTTCTTATTTTCAACACTGCATATTTCTCTATGTTTTATTTTTTACGGTATTTTTTTCTCGAACCCAGCTTGAAAACCAATACCACCCAGTCAAAATGAGCGCAAGGCTGATTACGGGGAAGAACAATTTGTCAATGAAATGCGGCGAGAAGCTGTACCTTGACTCGGAAACAGCCGACGTTAAATTTGTGATTCAAACCAATGCCATTCTTACCATAGAGACCAGCGTTCCTGCCCACAAAAACATTCTCTCCGTGGGAAGTCCAGTGTTTAAAGCCATGTTTTATGGTCCAATGAAAGAAAAGGGTGACGTCAAAATCGTTGATACATCTCCCAACGGATTCAAAGAGTTTTTACAGTTCTTCTATCTGGAAAAAGTTCAATTGACTTCCCACAACATCATTAGCGTCATGAAATTGTGTCACAAGTACGAAGTGGCTGATGGTTTGACGTTCTGCGAAAAAGTATTGCAGAAGATACTAACCATCAATGATATGTGCTCTGCTTATGAATTGGCCCGTCTTCTTGATTTAAAAAGCACCATCATATTCTGTAAGCAAAAGATCCAACTTAATCCGGAAGGAATACTAAAATCAGACGATTTCTTGAAATGCAATTCAACAATACTGGACAAAATCCTGGAACTGGTGTCATCAATTCAGTCCAATCAGTGCAGTCCATCGACAATCGTTGACGCAAGCATGGCATGGGCCAAAGCTGAATGTGTTCGAAATGAGTTGCAAGGAACGCCATCCAATTTAAGAGCACAGCTCAATGATTCATTCCATCGAATTCCATTCTCAGACCTGAGCAAAGAACAGTTTTCACAACATGTTAGCAGCTATAAACGATTTTTTAACGAAGACGATCTGAAATCAATCATGACTAAAAAAATAAGCATTTCGCGTTGTTGTGATTTACCATATTTTTTGTATTCTTTGCCATTTGAATGTACTCTTACGCTGGATGCTCGATTGGTTTTGAAGGAAATACACTTTGTCAAAACACCTCTTTGCACCTCTCGGGCCACAGATTACAATGTTAAGGCTGCAATCACTTTGCGTAGACGAAAAGACGATCAACCATTGCTATTGGGGAACGTAAACATTTCGTCTACCATCGGTGCGAAATTAATTGTTCCAGTTCAAGTTGTTATCGATCAAAATGAAGAATATATCCTGACAATTGACAGCAAAAGGCGCTTAGAATATATTTTGGAAAAAACAAGTATTTTCAAGCAAAACGACGTTGAGCCAACCCCAGTGATCATTTCAAAAAGAGATGAATAATTACAATTTTTTCCGTCTTTTTTCATTTTCAATGCCATTTATGGCCGAAAATAATTCCTTAAAAATATCTCAAACATTTTGTCAATTCAAAAATAAATGCACTTCAATCGTATGTGTTTTATTGTTTTATTATTCGTACAATTTTTTTTAGTTGAAAGTTTTCATATTAAATTATCATAACTAAACGTTAAGTTCAAGTTTCGAATTGCGAGCACTGAATTTTAATTGAACGCACCCGATTGTTTCTTCGTTCAATCGTTCAGTAGTAATCTGTCAAAGTTTGTAGAGGAACACACAGACATGCTATCATAACTGCGTAATAAAACTCAATTGGAGGTTATCGATTGAACAAGAAAAGTACAACATTTTTTCTATCTTTATTACAACTACGTCTTTTGATCATTACTTATCTTGACGATAATTACTACAATTGCTGTAGTTTCTTTTGGAAAACAAACTGCAAATGTAAGTATTTTTTTATCCAATTGTTCTGAAATGGCTAAATGAAGAGATTGACAAAATACTTTCCTATTCTGAACCAATTTCAGATTTAACTGGAGAAACTTTCCGTTTGTGTACATTTAACATTATAAACACATTTTGTGGACCACGAATTTGAAGAGACAATTGTTAAAAAGGTAAACGGAATATTTTCAATATTTTAAAAAAAAGAAGTATTGATAGATGTCTGTGGCCAACAATTTTCTAACCCAACATTTAACCTAGCCACAGTGCTTCATGCTTTCTATATTCTAATATCTAAAGAAAATATTGAGAGGAGAGTATGTTTTTATTCAGACATTACTCAGCTATAAGCGCTGAATAACATACTCTCTTCTCGATATATTCAATAGATATGTGTCTCTTATTCCGAACCATCACATTTTATTCAAAAAACTCATGTTGGCCTTTTCAATGCATTTTTCTTTCTGAAATAAATTTAGATCTCTAAAATCAGGCAGCTTCGATAAGCACGATGGCATTTCAAAAAAACAACAATGTGTCACAGGAAGGCGTCGAGAAGCTGTACCTTGACTCGGA